ACGGTCCTGTCCCTGCCCTTGCGGGTTGAAGCAGAGGAATGGAGGACGAGTGCTCAAAGGTGGCCGGTGGGCCCCACACACCAGTTGCCACGGCCACCCTGAAGCACGCTGGCACGAGAGGAGGGTTAGGCAGCCTCCAGCACGAGGAGGTGGGGCAGAAAGAGGCCAGAGCAGAGCAAGGACGAGGCCTCCTCCGCCCGTCCTCTCGCCGCCCTCCCCTCTTCCCCCAGCCGCCGCTCCCTCCAGTTTCTCTGGGTTTTTCTCATTGATTTCGGTTTCCGGTCGCCTCCCCAGCTCAGTCACGGTTGATTCTGGGGTAGGAGCAGCAGCCTAGGGGGAGGTCCTGATGGCAGGTCTGGTGAAACCCACCGCTGGGGCCACTCCCAGCCTGGCCCCCAGCCCCAGACTCCGTGGCTCCGCAGGTCTGCTCTGCACTCTGACATGGATCTGGTTATTTGGAACCCTTCCTTGCCACTGACCAGAGGGCATTCTGGGCCACATTTGGGGCAGGTCAGTCCTGCGAGAGGAAGTCAGCCAGGGCTGGAGCAGTCTGTGAGTGGCCTGCACTCAGAGGAGAACAGAGGCTTCTGAGCGCTGTCGGGAGGTCTGGGCTGGAATTCCTGCTCCGCGCCTGGCGACCCATAGACCTCAGGTGAGTTACTTACCCAGGCTAGGCCTTGGCTCCAGATCTGTCTAAAGAGACCAAACCTGGACAATGAAACTGAGCACTGGAGCTGATTCCAGGTGGGAAGAAAGGGGGCTGGCGTTGGAGCTCCCACCTGTCAGATGTGCAGAGTGGCCTGGAAAGGCATCTGCATCTACAGAGTTGGGGGCCCAGGGAACTTCATGGAGAAGCAAGCAGTCCCATGACTCCATGCTCCCCACAGAAACATGCTGCTGCTGGACAAAGCAGAAGTCACCATGGGAGGGAAATCCAGCACAGCCAGCATGAGGCCATGCGGTTGAATGAAGGTGGCAGTTCTGGGGACCGCGGGTGGCTGCCGCCCCAGATGGGAACCGACTAAGTGCTGCCTTGCCCCTTGGGCCCTCAGCCCTGCCCTGGAGCCCATAAGTGAGCCCGCTTTCGGGGGCGGGGGGCTTTCTCACTCCCAGACACGGCTGAGCTGGGAAGGATACCTTGGCATGAGTGGCAGCAAGGTCTGTTGACCACGTGCATGTGACTTCACCTGTTCTCACTCGCTGGAGAGGTGACAGGGTTATGTGGGCGACAACAGGTTTGGAAAGAATTTGCACGGACACCTGAAGGTGGATGGATGCAGTGGACCTGCCACGACCAGGGGTGCTCCCTGATAATCACGGGTTCGGGGCAGGGGCGGCGGTGGTAAAACTCTTTTGGGAGTTCTGCTAACTAGTTAAGAGTCTGTGACCCAGATATGTTTGCTGGGGCAGCTCAGGATATGGCTTACGGGCTCAGTGTTGGATCAGCAAGTCCCGAGTCAGCCAAACCTCAACCACTGGAGGACACGGCAGATCCACAGGGGGTGGTGGGCCAGCCAGGACAGGGCTGTGGGGACAGGAGGAACAGTCTTGGAGCTGAGCCCTGGAGTGGAAGCTAACTGCTGACCTAAGCCTGGTGGCCACAGTCCCTTGCAATCTGCTTCAAATTGAGCCTTTGGGCCCAGAAGCTTCTTCTTTATCCCCAGGTCAGATCAGATCATTCATCTTTAGGATGATCCTGCCCCCAATAAGTTGGCCATCAGTGTCCTGCAGGCCCTAGGGCATGCCACTTCCTTCGTGGCCCTGAGCCATGCCAGCCCTTCCGGAAGTCTCCTGGAGGAGCATTCCGCTCCAGATGGCCAGCCAGCTGTTCAGTGTCCCCACCCAGCCCAGGGAGGAGCCCGCAGCATAGCGGAGCAGCGGTGCAGGGGGTCTGATGAGTCAGAAACAGGAGCAGGAAGCTCCTTCCTTTATTTGTATTGTATCAGGCCTGGGGCAGACTTCCGACGGACTCAGAGCGCAGAGAGGAACACATGCTAAGGCGGACGGGCTTCTGGGGAGAGGGCCGGAGGGGGGGCACCATGTGGCCTGTCACAGCATCCAGAGGGCAGTCAGCAGCAGGCAGGAGACCTGTGAAGTCACAAGGGCTTGGAAGCTCCTGGGCTGAGGGACGTTGCCCAGAGAAGTGACGTTAGTCAAAGTGGGAGGGCCGCTGCTCTGAGGGTGCCTGTTGTCTTCCGGAGGGATATCAGAAGGTTTGGGCGGGGGTGAACCCGCCTGATGCCTGGCGATCCACTGGGAGAAGTAGGTGATCCTGGTGAAGACACTGGGGCCAATGGGCTGTTGGCAGGGCAGGCTCCAGCTGGACAGCCCCATCAGATACCAGGTATTATTCAGCTTGCAGACGAGGGGGCCCCCAGAATCTCCCTAAAGAAAGAGAGAACATGAGTCCTGGGGCCCGAGAGAGAG